TCTCACTCACACTCACTCTCACCCACACTCTCATTCACACTCGCACTCACTCACACTCACTCTCCCACTCTCACTCGCACACACTCTCACTCTCACCCACACTCACTAACACCCACCTTCACTCTCACTCACGCTCACTCACCCTCACTCTCACTCTCACTCACAATCGCACTCACTCACACTCACTCTCCCACTCTCACTCACACACACTCTCACTCTCACCCACACACACACACACTCACACCCACTTTCACTCTCACTCACGCTCACTTACACTCACACTCACTCTCACTCTCACCCACACTCACTCTCACTCGCACTCACACTCACTCTCCCACTCTCACTCACACTCACACTCCCTCTCGCCCACACTCACTCACACCCACCTTCACTTCATCACCACCATCGCCTCTCTGGACCACAATGCGTCTAGATCTCTAGACTTTCTGGTTACAGATCTCACACACACTGTTTGGGGTCTCTTGCCGGGATAATTTTATTTGTTTTTCAACAGATTTCAAATGGTGGACAGTAACCCTAGTTATCTGGTTCTGCGTCACACACGTCTATCTTGCCTGGGCTCCAAGCTACATTGGTTGCCGTGGCAAGCCTTTTTAAGGTGTCCGACCTTAATACTGCGGCTGCGTCACGTGAGAGGCAAGCTTTGATTCACAAAACTTGGAATTCACTTGAAGTGTGTGGTGGATGGAACAAGGGGCCCAAGAAACTTGGTGCACTACGCTATCTCATTCTTCATGTAGTTCCTGAGCTGTCACTTGTGCGCAGTTGAGGGTCCAACGGGATGTACACCTCCGAGTCTGTGAATTGATTTGAGGATTGGAGTGATCATTCATGATGATCCCTTTTGGTCTAACAGGTTCATCCTCACTGATTGCCGCTTACTCTGAAGAAATAACCATCATGACGCAAGCTTGTACGGGATCATCTGGGGAAGGAAAAACATGTCCTTCACTGGAAAATTTGGGAGGTATCGATATTGAAGTCTGCACGATTTAGATGAGGTGTTCTCTGAGTGCATCTCCAGTTTCCAAGCCTCTTGGTTTAAATGGCACGTTTGTGTTGCAGCCTACCGAGTGAAGTCCAAGGGTCATGTGAGCAAACAAAAGTGAAGCGACCACTGCGCTGGTCAGTGCAACCCCCTCAGCGCAGGAATGCTCGGCTAGAACGACATACGAGGAAGGTGAGGTGCAAAGGCCGGGGTTCAAGCTAGAAAAGCATACCAGAATGGGAAGACCTTCCTTAGTAAGGACAAACATCAAGTCATCCACAAAAGCAACCTGGAAAGGTGTCGAATGCCAGAAAGACAAAGAGTTCTACGGTAACTACCTTGTTTTCCAAGGTCAAGGCGACTTTCCAGAGAAGTACCTGCCAATACACTCAAAAAATCTCAAAAACGTGTTTCCGTTAGCTTCGGGGTTTACATCTCCATAATTTGTGCTCAGTCGGGCAGTTTCCGCAGAAGTCACTAGGTAGACTCCGACGTAACAAACAAGCTTGCGGCTGGCATCCTCTCCGTCATTTTATCATTCTAAGTGGCTGTTTACTAGCATTCTACCTGGCATATTTTATGACATTTTCTCGGATCTTCTGGCATTCTATCAGGCATACTTTCTGGCATTTCTGCTGGCATTTTTCCGACACCCTGTCTGGCATTCTTCTGGCATATCTTCTGGAATTTTAACTGGCATATCTTCTGGCACTCTATCTGGCAAACCTGCTGCAATTCTAACTGGCACATCTTCTGATGGTTAACCTTCCTGTCACTCTGTCTAGGGTGCGCAAGCCCGCGTGCACCCAAGAGGACTGGTACTCAGTAAGGCCCGCAGGCCTGCGCGGGCCCAGCCTGACCTGGTGCTCTCTATAGCGCACAGGCCCGCCTGACCTTGCACTCTCTATGGCGCACAGGCTGGATGTGGAACTAGAGGTCAGCACCGCACCCCTTTCTTGGCCCTCCAATTGGAGCGCCTGAAGATGAGGGCTCACCAGCTCTGGCGACGTGGAGGTATGTGGTGCCACAGCTCTCTTCGTACGACTTTCACCTGGATGGTTGCGGCATTTTGGTTCCTAATTACGTTGGCTCTGCGTCTTTTTGGCAGCCTTTTATGGTGGGAGTTGACTAGGTTCGTCTTTGTGAGGTCTCCATTGTCTGATAATCAGCTTGCGGCATGCCTTGACTGCCCTTTTGCACCCTCTACAGCATGCTGGAGCTGGCTGTGACACCACCACGTCGACGACGACGAGGACGAGGAGGAGCAGCAGAAGGAAGAGGAAGCGGAGGAGTAGTCCTTCTTAAAATCTAAAGACCCTCACCTGGTAGGTGGGGAAATATAAGACTGTCTGCCAACACAACCACATTGCCATCAGTGCATCCTGCATGACCTGCCCGCATTCCCTCACCCATTGTCCATGGCGGCTATCAAAAGTGCTTTGAAAGAATCCAAAGTGCAGCAGTGATTTTTTGTGGGTCTTCGCAAACAGTCAGTCAACCAGGACTGAAACATCCCGTGAACATGCTGCAAGCATTGACACAAGTCCAGTGGAAACTGATGTTGTCCAAAACTTTGTTGAGGCACACGCCTCCTAAGCATTCAGCCTGCACAGAAGTTCCTACCTTCAATAAACAATCCAAGTAACCAGGATGAATGGTACAAAACGGTTTCAAGGGACCAGGAAAATCGAAATGATCTTTCTTGGAGAGCAGCAACAAGACCAGGGACATCGAAACCAAACGCCACCCAAGTTCCAATCCCTCGTTCATCTTAAAGCTGAACGGCTTCGGCAACAAAATAATCTGCGGCCTCATGTGCACAGTGCAAACATGTGCGTTATTACCCCCCAACACCCACCACCCGACCAGAACGACAAGTGATGGTGGTCGAAACTTCAAAAGAAAAACAAATACCATGGGGTTCCTAATGTCGCCGGCAGCACAAACAAGCGCAATCCGGGCGCCGGCCACGGGCCCGTGTCCTTGCCGGAGGCCTTCGGTTGGTAACCGAAGGTTATATACGCTCGCCGCCCCTGCCGCCGACCCTTCTGTTGGACCGCGGGGATACCTCCGCCCGACCCCGTGTCGACCCCGTGTCGACCCCGTGTCGACAGATTTATATGTATCTTGCGCAGGCTGTTCAAAAAATGTTCAAGAACATCGTTTTTTACAGTGTTTCGTGGCCTTCGGCGGACACGACTCTGGCCTAACAGGGCGCCGGTGGTGTCGGTTATGCGTGCCGCGCGGACAGGCTTAATCGACATTTCGTGGGTGCTGGGAACATAAGTTGCCTCACATTTCCCCAAAATAGGCCCAAGATAGCCAACATATGCCCAACATAGCCTCCAAGATTGCTCAACATAGGGCCAACATAGGCCAACATAGGCCTAACATAGGCCAACCTAGGCCCAACATAGGCTCAACATGGGCCCAAGATGCGCCCAGCATAGACCACATGGGCCCAACTTGGCTCAACCTAGGGCGAAGATGCGCACCAGATAGCTTCACTTTGCTCCATATAGGCCCCACCAAGGCCAACATAGGCGAGAGAGAGAGAGAGAGGCGGCAGGACATGTGCAAGACGGCTCTCCCAACTTCGGCGTATACCAGGCATACGCCCGGGCGGTCAGCCCCCTTCTCGAGAAGGATGCTACCGTGGAACTGTGGCGTACGTTGGCGTATGTTGGCCCCATGTTGCCCTATGTTATCCCTATGTTGCGCCATCTTGGAAGGTATGTAGAGCATTTGTTGGGAGTATGTTGGCTATCTTAGGCCTATGTTGGAGATATGTTACGCAATTTATGCTCACAAACATCGTCCGCGACACCTTTTTTGGATTTTTCCTTCCCTCCAAGCGAAACCCCTGAAAACCAACCCTCGCCCTGCTTGGCCGGCGCCCGGCTGTCAGGCGTAAGCCTCTTAATCATGAGCGAACCAGAAGCATTGACGTACCCACAGCCTGCAGCAATTGATTCCCTTCCCAATGGCGCCTTCTCAGCACAATCAGGACAATGTGCAGTGTCAGCAAGGAGCCAGCTGTCACCACAGCCTGAAGTTGAGACATTTTATGGGCGCTGCTTTTGGCCTCTAGCCTCAAAGGCTATGAAGGACGAAGATATGAAGGACGAAGAAACGTGGAAAATGTGAGCAGTGCACACAAAACACCTACTATTCGGAGGTTGCCTGGTCTTGAAACATGCCTGAACCCCATGACTAGGTGAGATGGGTTTGTCCCTCGCGGGCGGGTTAAGAATCAACGAATCATCAACCACGCCCTCGACCAAACCAGACTCAACACTCTGAGTCCTGTGAGTCCCATGAAAGAACTAAGTACGTCATGGCTGGGGCCTGCTCGCTTGCAGATATGAAACTACTTCAGTGTAGCCCGGATCTTCGAATTCAACATTGCTCTGACACCACACGACACTTGGCGGTGACCCTGGTTTGCAATTGTTCCAAGCTCCCAGACCAAGATGCCGTAGATCAGGAAAGGGTAGTAGGTCACTAAGCTTGATGACCTAGAGAGCTGAGACCCCAGATGCGTCCAGAAGAAAAGAGAAACAATGGTCTAGAAGAAAGACTAAATAAGGCAGAAAGAGCAATCAATCAGGAAGAAATCAAAACCATTAGAAAGTGATGCCAACAAAGCTTTGGGTGCAAAAGCACTAGCGAAATGATGATCATGCCAAGCCAAGACCTGCTCTGTCTTTGGTCGTATCGAACAAATAAGAAGTCCAAATGTCTAAGTAGCCAGCGCTGCTCCTGACACCTGAAGCATGTGTCTCACCCCTGAATACAAACTCCTGTTCGTAAGCTAACTATGGCAGACTCAAAGAAGAGAGTACTCTGAAATCCGCCCGCGCCGAAGGTGCTGAGGAACATGATTATGTGTGGTGGGGCGCGTTCACTGAGGGGAGGCCTTCTCGTTTATGCATATCCTGCATCATGAGGTGTGTAAATGGAAGGTTTTGCAACATTTGATGTGGAGGTGGTGTGCCATATGATGTGGGACTGGAGATGAAGTGGATGCTTGCAGTGACAACTGATTCAAGCTGTTGAAAGGAATGGTTGGTGGACCTGGCAATGCAAATGATGCAATAATGAGACGTCAATGAGATCAATCTACTGTATGGTACTTGTCATCTCTAGATCATCATGCATATTGCAAGGCTCTTCGACCCCCTTGAAATTGTAAATGCCTCATGGGGTCTAACTAATATCCAACCATGCCTGCAATTTTAGCACCGTTCCCCTCTGGTCCTTATATCCGTCACGCGTATTCTAGACTTTCTTCTAATCAGTCATTTTGCGACCTAGAGACCCAGAGATGACAAGTACCATGATGAATGAAGAAGCATACGGAAAAGAAACATGTGCAGACATTGTTGGATATAAGTTCGACCCCCTGAAAACTGTACAGACCTAGAGGTGACAAATACCATGCAATGGATGAATGTAAGTATATATATTATATTATTTTATATTATTTTATATTATACTATATTATAGTATATTATGTTATATTATATTATATTAATATATATGAGATGGGAAATATATGGAGATAAAACATAGTGCATGCATTGTTGGATATAAGTTGGACCCTCTGAAACTTGTTCAATTTCAGGCGAGTGGAAAAAATAGCGTGATTACAGTAAACCCTCTAGAGTCCTGCTCATTCGGCTGCGCATCATCTGGGGTGTTGGCTTGGACATGAATCACCTTTCCTTGCGCCCTCTCTCGAAGCGACATGACTCAGAACGGACAAATCCCAAGTGCAGGTGGTCAAAGTCAAAACCTCCCAAAGGGCAACCAACGCAAACCCATGGAACCCCTTCAGGCGAATGTGTCGGCGCTAATCTCCATTTCACATTTCTTTGGTTTCCTCAGGCAGTGTCCACGGCAAAGACTGCGGTCGGGATGAGCCAGCTCAAAAAGACCTCTGTGGAGCCAAGCCAGGCCGCTAAAATGAGGCCTCTATGAAAGCGGAAGTGGCTGAGGCCAAAACAGCCTGGAAGGGGAGTGTAACCTTCGGTTCGTTCTTCCTCGGAATCCAATTGGCACTGTGGAGCACTATGGATTAGTCCAGTCCAGAGAGGAGCTCAAAGTGCCAAATCACCAATCCCACAAAAAGTGCCAATCCCATGCTGTTGAATACTGGAAGCTGCTTGGTGGCTCTGAGAGCTTGGCTTCAATGGGCCAGGAAGGCTGCCGTAGGCCTTTAAAGTCAGTCGGACCCTTCTCGAGTTCGCAGATTCATTCGCAAGTGCATGCAATGTGTTTTCTTCGCAGTAACACGTCTCAAAAGCTGCAGAAGGGCCTGCTGAGCATTGTAACCTGCCACTGCCATCAAGGGAGATGTGGAGACTTCGAAACAACCACACTACGCGGGTGCAACCAGCCAGCCACACCATACATAGTCTAAACCTCAAGCATGCCGAATGGGTTGAAAGTCGAAACGCCCCACCGAAAGTGCCGAGAATGTTTGTGTTGACATCTTAACTGCACATGCTGCTTTTGAGGCAGTGACGGGAATGTTCGCTCTCCTAGGCGCGCTGTTGGGAGTCAGCCAACACGATGCAAGATTGTCCTCTCTAGATTTAGATTGTACATGATTGTACTTGTGAAATGGAGTTAGCTATCACAATGCCTTAGTTGTCGTCCCAGGCGCAGTTTGGGCCGGGGGCACCCGGGTTTCGCCCCGAGGAAAAGGGCCAAACTTGCCAGAAAGAAAGAATAGCAAGCACCGAGTGGACCCTGACAGCACAATTACGCTTGGGATCAGCTTCTCGATGCCTATGGCATCGCCTGTGTAATGCAAAAAACATGAAAAGGAATCAAAGGGATTGAGTGAACATGACTGGGAGAAAGCTCTTGGCGAACACGAACATGGTGGGGAACTGGCCGTCTCTCTTTGCAGTCGGGTCAAGCGATTTTGAGCGATTCATGGATGACTTGCAAATGCAGAAGAACTACTTTTCGTACTTTTAAGGTTAAGTTAAGTGTGTCCTAAAACTCTAGAAACCAAATCATTAGTGCGAGCGCTTCTTCAAGGAAGCTTCAGGGCGGCGGGGGAAACTTTTTTGAAGAAGCGTGAGCTATCCTGCGTCCTGTCAGTAGTAGCCACTTGTAGGTAGTAGCTACCTGGCTTCTACTAGCTGCCTAGCTACTACCTCTACAGTCCACCGGGATATTAAAAATGCATTTCGCTTCTTTTCCTGAAGTAAAGGCCCCAATTTCAGATCATGGCCTGCAAGCCGGAACCCAGGCGGCCGCTCAACTAAATCATACAACACCCCAAATCCAAAGGCACCCAGAATCTGACGTCCTGCTGTTCAAAGGTTGCAATTTGGGGTCCCTGTTATTCACTGTTGTCTTTTAATCAGCTGGTGCACGGCCGAAATTATTGAAAAGTATTGTGCGACCGAGCAGCTTGGGCAAGGGCAGGCATCCAAGCTATTAAATTCCCATGACACACTTGCCAGCTAGCCACCCCAGTCACATTTTAGTTTGACAATGCTAGACAAGCTCTTTGCCGAGTGAACAAGGGTCTTTTTCACATGGATGTCAGCGGCAAGTGTATCAATGCCACGCAAATCTAGCTGACTCATCGGCAGAAACTGTACAGCTGCAGCAGCTAGCCACAAGGTCCTGGCTCCAATATTGCTCTCAGAAAGGCCACCGTTGCCTTGAGAATTTGACAGCGTCCTCAACCAGCGCCACAGCAGGGGAGTCCCATTTCAACAAAGCAGTATCAAAGCCAAAAGTGGATTGAGGATGATTCAGGATTCTTGGCTTGCAAGAACAGTGGTGGGCCGGCTAACCAAACTAGAGCTCTCGCAAGTCCTGTGAAAGTTTTGTGACTGATCCGGCTAGGATAATTAAGGAGAGTAGCCAGGACCTTAAGCCAGGTGGAACAAAGAAGATCACTACACCCCTTCTACACCATCTTCAATGTTCCAATGCAAAGAATGACTTTGCTCCTGCCCGTGTGCCAAAAGCAAAATGCTACGATCAGTGCAGGAAAGAATACTCTGGCTGACAGTGTAGAAATTTGCTTTGTTTGGCACGCAGGTCCACTCGTAGCACGGCATCTGAAAGTGGGTCTGTACCGATGCCGGCCAATAAGAACAGCAGAGCCGGTGAAGACGAATCATAACAATGTTTGAGTGACTCGAAATGGTCCTCCTGAAATCTACTCAGAAAAGAATTCTTTGCGGGTATCTGTGAGCTTGCAAGGTCCCGAAATCTGAACTGCCTTGGGGTTCAGCTCTCTGATCTTCTGCTTTGGCCTTTTGGCCTTACTTTCCGGAAAAGCCGGAAAGCCTGCACTGAAGTCATCAGCGCAAACATGTTTGTTCCAAACAGAAGTGTTCACGACCTACGAAGATTTCCAAGGAAACAATGTTAGTTTTAAAAACATCTTCTCACATGGATTGCGAAACAATCTGGGGAAAGTAAAGGAGACGACTTCACTTGCCAAGACTCTCTGCATCCCACGGCATGGAGTGTTTCCAACACCCGAGTTGCAGCCACCAACCATCAAGACACCAGCTTTTTCTACATCAACTATGAAACAATCCAGCAGTGGCAGGGAAATTCTTGGCGTTGCCAATATCCTCATGTGTCACTTAAGGAATTCTCCAAATATGATCGAATCAATATTTCAAACGCATTGCAGCATTGAACACATTAAGCTGTTGCCGCCAAAACGACCTTTGTCCAGCGTTGCACCCGTTACAGTATAGTAATTGAATTACTTTTGTTTGAGCAACTGGATTGAATGGCAGTCAATCAAGCTGACAATCGCTGGATTTGCTGCTCGGCGACAAGATGATGTGATGAGTTTGGGCTGTGCCTTCGGGTCAAAGCGCTCTTGGTGCAACTGAGACTTTGGTTGGCCCGGCCCTGAGCCTATCCGCAAGAGCATCTAGTCAATCTAGTCTCTCTTCGAAGAAGCGTTTCCAAACTGAATTAACCGCAGAATCACCAATCGCGACACCAGTGGCGCTCGGCTTTGGCCCTGGCACAGCTCCTGGAAATCAATCCTCCCAGCACAGCCAACCTCCTGCTCCCCGAGTGAAATCAGTTGTGAAGATGCACAATTGAATCGGATCGGAACCATCTTTCAGGACTTGGAACTGGCTATACCTTTTGCCTCAAATGATGGAACCCCTGAGCTGACCATGCAAAGAGGCATATGAAACGTCAGCTTCGTTGTACATGAGCTATATACTGGGCCCTCATGGACAGCGAAGACAGGTTAAAATTTGGCACAATGTCTAAACACGATCGCCAGAACTGAAACAGAGACAATCCAGTGGACTAAGTCGATCACTGTTCATTGTTGAGTCGAGACTGCTTTATTATTGCTTTGCCTGGGAAACTAAATGGGACCATCTATGTTTCAACTGCTCAAACTCAAAAACATGATGTTGTTTCAGCACCGGACGGCCAACTAAGGCCCACTCTGCCAAAGGCCAAGAGCAAACCATTCGGCCTTCGGGTGAATCCGTAGACTGTGCATTTCGGTAGTGCGCCTGTAGTTGGGGTTGACTGCCTCCCCGGCTTCAATTCTTGCACTTGCTCTGTCACTGTGCTGCTAAACTCTAGAGTTTGTTGGGCTTCGATTCAGATTTTCTGCGCCCAACGAATGGAGTGGTGGATAGCAACTCCAAACATAATCGAAACGCACAGTCTCTGCATCAGAGCCTCCGAGACACAAAGCCCTTTGAAGTAGCGATGTTGAACTCCATTCGCGTAGATTCGGGTGTCCAATTCTTGCTGCATGACATACAGGGCCCTGCTGTCGACTGAACATATTATGGGCCAGGCCCATTTGGACTTCTACCTGGGGACCCGCATGTGTTCACACGCCGAGGGTCATGGGAGAGCACGTCCTCTCACATCCTCTTAGTAGTTTCGAAAGGGGTTGAAGAGCGTCGAAGGGTCAGCACTTGAGGCATATGGATATCTCCCAGACTTAGAGCAGCCTTCTTGGCATGTGTTCACACGCCGGGTAAACTGGAGCAGCATGTGTTCACACGCTAGCAGCAAGTCAGTGCTGCGCAAGGGAACAAATTCTAACAGATATGTGCAGCTTCTTCATCATGGACAATGAAGGGCTCGCAAGCATTGATGCCAAAATAATTCTATTTGCACTATTGATTACATTATTATTTCAACACTATGCTTTTAATCTTTTCTGCTGGAACAACTTTGATCGTTGTATTCCAGATTGCCCTTGCATCACTCCAGATTATACTGCACCTCTAGCGGCTTGCTCAGTGTGGTCCCAGGAAGCCAAAAACGAGATAGCTTTCCTCAAGCTAGGATTTTCGCCCGCAGAAGCTCCGAATCAATCACACCCGCTGTCACTGGTCCACGGGTTTGCCGCAGCAAATGTGGCCATTGACCTTGGAGCAGTCTCACCCAATCTCATCACCACCTTTCTCTGCAACGCAGTATCTCGAATTGAAAATAGTGAGGTCACCTGTGGCGAATTTCCAAACACTGACCAAACAGTGCCTGGTCAGCTAAAAAACAAAAGTTGTCAAACGGCAAACAGCAGTGAGCGAGATTGATAACAGCTTCCGATGTGGCCAAGATACCGCCAAAAACTCAAGGCCATGACCAAATCATCAAACCTTAACAAAGGCAATCTCACAGGTGGTGTCTGTGAGTTCTCTTCGACAATGATGCCTGCTTCTCTTGCACTTTCTCCTAACTGTTTGTCACAATTCAGTTAGTTTCTTCGACCAAGGGGCATTGAATTAACTCACTCCTTGGCATTCTGGTGAAACAGCGAAACGATCTCCGCCTGCCATGGGCCAAGAGCGAACACAACAAAATGGCTGTCCCACCTTCTGAAAGACACACATTCTACCGACCACAAAAGCCGGCTAAAAACCTCCCAGCTTTGTGGCCTCTTCTTCGCCTACTGATTCGGCCAGCCTTGCGGCCTTACAGTGTGAAAAGTGAAAAAGCCAAGCAAAGTGCTCGTGTACAACAACATCAGTTCGCAACAAAAACAGTTACCAACAAACCTCCATAATTGTCCATAATTAGAATTAGTTACAGATATATGATATATAGGTCAATCCCCAAGTGAGCACCCTTTTGATATGAGTTTCTTCTACATGGTTGAAGCAACTTAAAGCAAATCTCCAGTACAATAGTCAATAGTGCACATGCCAGTGCTTGAAGTGGTGGCAGTTCTTACTACCAAGCTCTGCGCGGATCATTGCAAGGCCATGCAAACGGCCTCATGCTCATGCTCCTCACACCAGAAAAACAAAGGCAAAGGCAGAAAGGTTCCGTGCTTTTGGTGTCAACTAGAGAGTACATTCTCAAAGGCATCGGCGCCGGCATAAACCCATAGAACACGGGATACCTTAGGAAGCCGTTGAAAGCCTCTTTGTCCAGTGTAGCACCAGCAAGGGCCGCGACGCCATGCATGGTGTCTGCAAGACGTGAGGCGCCTGCAAAAAGCCAAACAAGAGGACAAATGCCAACCTGAAGAAATCAATAGGTGAGAGGATATGATATTGGAGGATCCAAGGGTTCAAAGACGAACACTTCCCGAGCCTGGCCGATGATGTAGGGTGTTCCTGAGCGGGTTTGTGGCAGTTCCGTGATGAAAGCGGCTGCGCCGGCTAGTGCGAGGCCTTCTTGCGGCATGGGAATTGCTTTTGCCCGGGGCCTTCAGTCACTGTCGCTGAGGATCTGGGCAAAGTACTCAAAATGTTTCTTGGCATCGAACTCAAAATGAAACACAGCGTGCGATGCAGCAGAAACGTCCTCAGGATAGAACAGAGTTGTTTCACGTCTCACGAGTCTATCATATTTCATCAGTCCCGACCACTCCCAAACATTCCGTCCTTTGGGCTCTCCTGCTTCATTTGCAGAACAGTTCGATACACGAAGCTCCCAAACCTCGGCACGACTCGAGGCCCTCAGGTTCCCGCCCTCAGATCACACCGAGAGCATCACTGGGTCTTCGCGACTTTCCGCCCCAGCGTGCCATCACAGTTTGACACTTTCCAATTGAGCTCCAGATCCTCGCAAGATCTGATATCTCAAGTGTCTTGTCGCTGCCCATGAGGCTCAAGAAACGAAGCATTCAAGTAATTGACCCCAAAGTTAAAAAAAAAAAAAAAACATACGGTGATGCTTCATGCGTTTAAGATCGTTAAACAATGTGTTGAATATCTTGACTGCCCCTCACAGCTCCAGCTTTTCCAGCAGCTGTTTAGCGCCCGGCTCCTGGGCATCGACGAATCGATCAAACACTTCGCTGCTTTTGGAGGAATTAGGAATGACTATGTCATTATGTACCTTTGGAAGACCAAGTTTGTGGCTCTGATGACCTTCTCAAGCACCCAGCTGGCATACCTGATACCAGGCTTGCAAAGGATGGAATTTGCAACAACTCCCTTTCAAGGCAACCAAGGAAGGGGAAAGCCCTGGCGGGGGTCACTTGTCCATAGCCAGCTCAGAGAGCTGTCCGGGTTGTTCAGCAAGCCTCAAGAAGGCCTCACAAATCATTGCTTCCAACCTACAAGCAAGGGCCTCCAACCTAGAAGCAATGGCCTCCAACCTAATTACTAGCAACGGCCTCCAGCCTAGAAGCGTCTCCATGCTCCGACAAACGCAGTCTAACTCCTCAAAACTCCCAAGCAACTCTTGGCCTGTATGAGGGCGGCCTTCTGGCTTTGGGAGGCCATCCTAATCCAAAGCGACAACTTTGACTTCGCTTCCGAACCAAAGAACTTCTTGGCATCTGGCTCCAAGAACTTCTGCATGACATGATTTCCGTACTGGTCCTTGGAAAGCCTCACAATTGACAATGTTCACCGTGCTAACAAACTCAGAGTCTGAAACCATTACAAATTACATGGCACCTCAAGCGATAAACTCAAGAACTTCGACATGTTTCAGATAATCTTGTTATTTTGGCCCGTCCTTACTTAATTAAGTAGGCGCCTATTTAATTAAGTAAGGGAGTTGGCTCCTAGTTAGGACGAGGATCGCTCACGCTTCTTCAAGGAAGCTCCCCCCGCCTGAGGGCAAGGGGAGCTTCCTTGCAGAAGCGCTAGCACTAATGATGTGGTTCCTACAGTGGATTTTGGTAGTAGTTAGAATTCTAATTAAATTCTTCTTGTTACTAGTAGTAAGGCACTTGTTTCTAATAGCTTCTTGTTACTACTAGTAAGGCACTTGTTACTAGTAGCGAGGCACTTGTTCCTAGATGTTTAGTGAATTTTCTATAATGTGTTGTCCCGACTGCAACAGACCAACATCACTGGATTCAGGCCTTTTGATCTCTGGTAACATCTCTTGCATCAAATGCCTGGGCCATGAGTCAAATTGTTGAAACGCATCGCCTTCAGCTGGTTCGGACCAGGAGTTCGGGCTGGGCATGCGTCTCTTGCTGAAGCACATGCTCAATGAGCCTCTGGAGCACCTCAAGAAGGATTCGGTGAGTTCATCTGTGAATCCGATCTGCAGACAGAGAAACACCCAATGAAAAGTACCATGCAAAAAACTCAAAACATCAACGACATCAACCTCATCAAATATCTATCAGCCCGTGTCCTTTGATGATGTTTTTCTCGCTGATAAACCATTTCTTCGAGCTCTTCACACGGCATCCGTGAGGATTCATAGCCACGTCCACGATTCTCATCTTCATTTCCTGCTTTCCAGAGAAGACTGACTTGGCTCGCGGCTATCCACTTTTGCGCACTTGCCTCGAGAATGAAGATAAACTTCTTCAGCGGCAACACCTAGGCAGTTGAGCGGTTCTACAGGGTCAGTGCTGCCGTTCGTTGCAAGTTTCCAAGTCGGTTTCACTGATTCCCACTAGGGAGCAAGCTTGAATGCAAGCTTGAAGGACGTAGTTGGAGTAGTTCCAATCTCCAGAAGCTGCAGTGGCCTCGAGAGAGAGAGAGAGATTGTAATGCCTGCACACTCACCTTGCACATGCCGGCAAAGCTCATCTGTCTAAGGCCTTTTGCATGTGTTTTTTACTCGTACCGCTTCTGACTGAGCAATGAGGCTATAACTCTAGAGGCCCTCGATACTGCCACCTAACTTGAGCAATGCTTGCTTAGCAGACCTAATGGTGACAGCCGAAAAGCCGGCTTGAGCTGCCTTCTCAAGGGCAGCCCTTAAGCGTCGTGCATCATTGCCCTTCTGCGCCTTGCTGAGCTCGGCCCAGATTTCTTTCCGAGCTGAAACAGCTGGAGCGCTTATGGAGACAGCACGAACAGCGCTGTCAGAACTGTGACTCTCTGGAGAAACAGGAGCTATCCGTTTTGCACTTTCCACATGGCCACTTTGCACCGCTTGAGCTGCAACTGGCTGGCGCCAATGTGCATACAAGCAAGAAGCATCCTTCACGATGTCTTGAGGTTCCTCGTCGGAGGCATCGGCACTATCATCCTTCTTTAGCCGCCGTTGGAGCCGTTTCTCTGCTTGCTTTAGGCGTTCCTTCTCCGGCAGCACTGGGGCCGTAGATTTGCCTCGCACGGCATTGTACATTTCACCAAAGAGCGCCCGCTGGGTCGCCTCTGCCTGCCTCTTGAGAGTCTCAGAGTGATCATCGATGGCACACTGCATTTCAATGACTCCCAGCTCTGTTGCCTCGAAGCCCCAGTGCTCCAAAACAGGCTTCTGCACTGGCAAAGCCACTCTGGCCAGATAGCACGTGAACTCGTCTTTGTTTTGAACATCTCGCGCAAGTTTACGTACTTGCTCTCTGAAACTTGGCTCTGAATAGGCATGTTCAAGCTCCTTGAGCATGTCCTCCGCACCCTCCCTGGTGAGCCTCTTTCGTGTCAAGTCGTCCAGCTGTGGCTTCGTTTTGGCCTCGAGGCCCGAGAGGTAGAGTGGTTGCGTAGATTCGACCGAGCTTCGCTCAGACCGCTCTTCACTAAAGAGGCCCTTCTCCAAACCCAACTGAAACATGCGCTGCTGAGAAAGCTCGTCCTTGCTAATGAGAGCTTTCACCTTTTCGCGTTTAGCTGATGTTTCTCTCTCCAAACGATCTCGATCTGGCCGGCCTACAGCAATGCCATCAATCATATTGAGACAAGCTTCAACTTCTTTCAGCCGCCCAAGGCCTTCCAATGCACAGGCTTTTCGGAACCAAGCTTTGTGATCCTGATCATCAAGCTTCAGGACTTGCTCGGATGAATCCAGGGCCTCCTGCCACGAATTCAGTTTCAGAGCTGCTAAAGCCCTGTTCTTTAGAAGAGCCAGCTTCACGTCGGAGAAGAATCTCTGCTCGGAGGAGTGCGTGTAGGGGACACGGATCCGTTCTAAGGCATCACAACCAAGTCGCCAAGCCTTCAAAGCATCTTCATGATTGCCTCGCTCCCACTCGACAAGACCATCCTTCCTATACTTGGTTGCAAAGCTCAACCCATCATGAACTTCTTTCATGCTCGATTCAGCCTTTACGATCTGGTTGGATGTTTCAGCCTTTTGCTTGATCTCCCGGTGGTGCCAACCCTGAAAGATTCGATCAATTCCGGCTTCGCCTTCGTGATCGAAGGTATTGCGGAAATCCATGAGAATCCGTTGATTCTCAGCTGTTTCCACCAGTTGCGGGAACGGAACTCCACGCTCTTTGGCTTGACCGACTACGTTCATCAAATGAGATTCGACTGGACGGCAATGAATGATGGGAGTCAGCAGGCGTTTGGTGGCGAGTGAGCATTCCTCCAAAGATTCGGTCAGCTCTCTTCGGAAGTCGTTGGACTCCTTTACTTGTTGGTATTGCTCCAACCATGTGTTTCTCCTCAACTTCCAGTGGTCGTCAGACTGAAGGAGGGCTTTCATGTGCGGCTTCCGGGCAGCATTGTTCCAAAACTCTGGATCCTCGTGATTCAGAAAGAAGTTTGGATTTTCTCGTGGGTCAGTGTATTCTCGGTGAAACTGTTGTGAGAGCCACTCAGGATCGTCATATTTGGCCTCATAGGTTGGGTAGCCCCACTCCTTGAGCTGGTCTTTGCTGTACATGAGGCCATCATTTTGAATGGGAACAGCAAAAGGAGGGGGCTTGCGCTTCGCAACTGTTAGTCCAGCTGTCTCTGCAAGGGAGAAATCCTTGCCGGCTGCTTGCTCAGGAAATTGCAGCTCGCACTGATGTTGGATCTCACCATCCGGTGTCTCTTCTCTCATGTCAAGATGAGCAGATCCTGCTGGAGGAAGCAAGGCCACAGCAGGATGGACCCAATTCGTGATCCCTGCCATGTGTCTCGCTTTTTCAGCTATTCCTGGCATCAGGCCTGTTCCCTGGTAAGGAGAAGCCATCAGCAACAGAGGCAGGGAAAAATCGAGTGTTACTCTGTATGTACCCTGCTTTGTATTAGGATGTATTAGGTGTGTATCTTTTTGCAAAAGGATAGTTTTGCTTGCTGTCAGATCAGTATTGACAAAATCACAGGGACACTGGTCCAGAATCTTCTCAGCACCATGCTATCGAGCTCAAGGCTGCAGTAAAGGGTTCAATACCAATCAACACGAGGTCTAAAAGACCAGGACCACACAAATCATCACAACTCATATGGTCTGCAAGATTCTGCAAGTCTGTGATGGTGAGGGTGCCTCCAGAACATGGCTTTGAAGTCCGGAGACGACCTTATGCAGCATGCAGAAGCGCCACAACCGCCACGCGAAGGTGTCATGCAGAGACGACCCTGTTTGCCATGACAAAAACTGCATTTCACAACGCTCGTGATCATTAGTGTCCTGGCTGGCTCTGTTGTGTCGACTTCTGCGATGCAAGGTTTTCTTGCGAAACTGTTCCAAGTTGCTTTCCGCCCAGGTTTGTTTGGCTTGGTGTCAGCCACCTCCTTAAACCAAAGTGTTCAGAGAGAATCTTTGGACACTCGTTGGACTGATGTCAGCCATCGTGGCAGGATTTGTCTTTATATATATTATAAGTTGTCTTTTTTCCCAGGTGTATTATGTATTGTTTTGCAACCAGTGCAGGATTGTCAGCTGCTACTGGATTGGTTCTCTTCCGATCAACTGGTGTTCAAAAACCGGTCACAACTGAAATGGTTTCTTTGGACAGAAGTTCAGCTTCTGAGAGTGACTTGACTTGAACTTTGTCAGAGTCACGACAGCGATTTTAGTGCAGAATCCATTCAGAGCGGTGCACCATCAGCATTGCTCCAAGCGTCCATGGCTCAGGTTTCGTTTGTTCGCTCGGGACTCCCCGAGTTGACATGGCAAGCAGTCGCAGATCGCACGGTACAATGGATAAGTGGGACAAGCTGTTAAGCAAAGAAGCTTAACACGGATGTTGCTCAGAAGCTTCACAGTCCATGCGGTCCATGTCTGAAACTCCGAAACACAACCCGTCGCATCTCTTTCCGGACGACGCCCAAAAATCTCGAAGCTCTCTCCGGGCTTGGCCAACTTGGGAGCGGGTGGGGTGTGTTGCCAGTGGAAACCACTTCTCGAGGTGCTTTCTGCTGTTCATTGCAGTTCATTGCGGGTTCCAGTGAAGAACACATTCCGTGACTGCCCGGATGATGAAGCTTTCGAAGGGCAAGCTCTAGTGTTGCAGGCTTGCGGCGCGGCGTGACATGCCACGTCCAGAATCGGTTTCGCCAGTGGGGAGATCCTGTGGGACTATTGTTGAGGTTGTGTTTGCCTTTATTCGTTGATGTTGTTCTGTCCACACTGCATTAAAAACACTTGTTTCCTACAAAATCCTACAAGTATGAGACGGTATGAGCAAGTCAACAATCTTTCGGAGATACCTGCAACACTAGTAGTAACATGTAGTAACTAGAGCTGATGTCGAAGATGCTGATGAATCCTTTTGAGCAGAATCGCGGTCAGGCAAAAGGGATCCCTGCGTTGCTCAAAGGGGGAGGCTTTGCTTCTCATTCTCTTCGCCAGCCAAAGTGGTTGGCATTTGGCTTCCTTGGCTTCCTCTTGCTCAAGCATCTCAAGCTGCTCCCTAATTATTCTTTAGGCTACATTCCACTCTTGTTTTTGGGAGCCTTTTGGCAGCCACAGGCTTTTGCTGCCACGAACTCGAACTCGGAGGAAATGTCATTGATACGTCGTGTCTCCGTGTCTTCCACACGCAATGCATCCAACGCACAGATTTGCGGCAAACAATGGATTTCGCTTAAACTGTATCCGGAAGTGACATGCACGAGCACAAGACACCCAAACACCCACCATGGATGAGACCAGGGTCCCAGGGAGCGACTTGCAAATACCAAGTTCGTTGAACAAAACACTGCACGACAGTGGGGAGGAGCGACAGAACAGTCTCGGAACAACACTCATTTTGAATGCCTGCAGGAAGAAGGAGACTGGCAGTATCCCAGACTCATAGTCATGATGTTCAACTCATATTCTGCCCAACGTTGGTACAGTTGCGCCAACGCTTCTGACACCTTTCATCGCAGCTTTGTATGCACACGACCCAAAAAACAAGCAGGATCAGTGAATCAGTGACATGCAAACAACTTTCCTTCCAAGAGTGCTTGCTGATGAACGATGGGGCTCGCAAGCACACGGACAACGCGAAACAACGCGACATATGCACTGGGGAGCGGCTTTGTCCACAGCTGCTTTCCACTCCTCAGCTGCCTGTCAATAGCACAAGTGGTTGTAAGTACGGAGATGCCAAAAGCACAAGAAGCTGCAAGGCTCAGGCGAGGGATTTGATGGTGCAATCAAAATGGATTGCATCAAATCTGTACTCAGCCTCATTTTTCTCGTTTGCGTATGAGTTAAAACCCGGTTATACACCAAGTGAATATCCGACATGACTAGGGGGGTATATTCTCATGCACCTCATCATGGTTTTTGACCGACAGCCCCACCTGCTGTTGCTGAGCAGTGTGGCTTGACTTCTCACCATTCTTGAGGAGCTGGCCAAGGGTCAAGCATCTAAAAAGCTTCTCAGTCTAACGTATTCAAATCAAATCCGCAAACAGCTCCTCCATCAGTGACAATTTCGGACCCTGAGCAGAAATGCAACTCTGATCCTCCTGATGGCCTCCTGCAAATGACGGGAACCGCTTGGGCTGCAAGCCAGGATCCACACTTGCCTAGGTTTCTACGAGCATGCCAAAAGCAATGCCAGACTTGCTGCTTTGTTTATCAAGCCCAATTCAAGTCCAAAGTGTCTGCTCTGCACTTGTGGGTATCGCACTCTGGCTCTTCAATAAGCGCCTTCACGCTCTTCCAATTCTTGGCTTGCATCGCCACTTTGAAAGCCTCTGATATTTTGCACTGATTCACATTCAGTGTCAACTTGGCATATTGGTTCGGACGCAGGCCTCAGACTCATCGTCCTCCAAACCTTGCAAAGAGGCCAGTGATTACGGTCTACACTAAGAATGTTTGACAGAAAAAATATAATAGAATTATGGCTGGATAAATGTCATTAAATGTCACAAAAGTCTGTCCTCTGGCTGGTGTAAATGCTGCCGAGCTCCTGATCAGCTCAAGAGCCTTTACATTCAAAACATAGTTTTTTTCCATCGCTCTTGGGTTGGTGCCGAACGGGAGATGCTGAGAACCGGACGTCTGGGATGTCTCCCCTCCAGGGACCTTGGAGAGGACTCTGTGAACGACTAAGGGGTCTTTCATTCCCGGAAAAGCATTGGATGTCAGACTATGAGACATCCTAGACTTGAGCTTGTGTTTTTCTTCTTCAAACTTGATGTTGCTGAGATTCTTTTTGAAAGGTGTTGGCGTTGAGGATTTGACTGGTATATCTTGCATTGGCATTGTCATCAGCCTCCTGAGCAACCTTCATGAAATCAAACTCTGACAGCAGACATCTGTTTGATGTGGTGAAATGATGTGAAATAGCCACGAGCCAAGAGAAAGCAGCAAATAGGACGAATAGCGCGAAGAACACGGAGCTCTACTGCGATCTACTGGATCTAAGGCAACTGGTAAGGCTGAAACGTTACATGATTCTGCTCTGGCCTTGGCAGGCGAAGGCTTCGCTTCGGACAAATACTTCGCTTTGGGCGGACAATCGACGCTTCAGGCCAGAAGAAAGGTTACGCCGGTTACGCCATGCACTGCGTCCCTGCAAATTGAGCGCAGAGCGTTGTTGCTGTTGCAGTACTGGACCTATAAATAAGACAAGTTCAAACACAAGTGCATCAAAAGCCATCGCTCAGAACCTCAACTGTGAGCTACAACTCAACCCAGTTCGTTCCATGTAAGCCACGGGAGATGAGCATCAATGGCGGCTTTGCACACTGATACGTAGGTTTACACCAAGGTTTGGACTCGAGCAGTTCGTTCAGCAGAAGCCTGGAGCACAAGTTCTACAGCATAAAAACGAAGAGGCGAGGGCACAAGCAGGAAAACGGGATCGAATATGATCGAAACATCTCGAAGCTTGTTCCCAAAGAATCCAAAACGCAAAGCTGACTCCTCTCTGAGCGTGTCTGGCCTCTGTCTCTCTTCTTCGTTTCGCTTGTCAGGGTGCACGAGGCCCGGCTCCTTGGCTTCAGGAAGCAAGTGGAATCACCTTGATTTGTATGTGAATATGTGTGACATTGTTTGACTCCACATATCCCCACTTGATCAGCAGCTCCGATCTCTATTCACTTGTAAGGGGAAAAAACCTTTCATATTGACATTCCCCTTCCAATTCGCGCCTGCGGATACATGGGTGGCCTGGGCAGGGAAAAGGGAGTCAAATAGCCGGGCTGTGTGGCCCATGAGGTCTGAACTGCAAAGATCTGATTGGATGCTTCACCGAGTCAAGAGTTTCATCCGTTTCCCCTGTGCACCTCTTGCGTTGGCCAGCGCTGGCCTTGGCCAGTCGTTCATCTCGTCGTGGGCCTCCGTCACCGAGAGCCGATCACGTTCGACGTCGACGTAGCCCAAACCCCACTGGGCCGGTCGCAGGGCTGCGCAGAGCCGGCCATCTACGCCTGGAGAAGCGAAGCGAGGAAAGCTCGAACTCAGAACCAAACTCTATTGTGCCAAGGCGCTGCCCGCATGCAGATGCCAAGGAGCTTGAGCAAAAATACAAAGCAAGGCGTTGGCGACAGCTGATGCATAGATGCCAACTGTCTGTTTTCTAGATGTGCCTCATGGTTGTACCTCTGGAATCCTTGGAGGAATCAGGAAATACAAAGGGATACATTAACTGCAGCAAAGAAACATGTCAAGCAACGCTCCAAATACAGCTTTTCTTCAGAGAAATTCGATGACCGCGTTTTGGTGGCCGCCCGCTACCAAGGCCTGGTCAACAGCCAAAAGGACTCCACGCATGTGACACACGGAAAGCACATTGGTGCCGCCTTATTGCTATCGAAGAGTTTTTGCTGCGCCTGGAAAAGCTGTGGCTTAGTTGGATATAAATAATCGTAGCAATGCAAGCCAAAAATGCTTCTCAAGGAACATTCCCTGGTCAAAAAGCTGGAAGAGTAGAATGAGAATAGATGGAAGGTATTGAAAATCTGTTGACAGCAGTTCTAATTCTAAAGCTTAAAGTCAACAGAAATTCAGAAGGCCCTGGCCTTCACATAGCGCCGATGCCCCTGTGACAAAACCAGAAGCAGCGAATAAGGAAAACCAAATTCTCAAGACTCTCTGGAGGGCTAGGAGGGTGGAGGCCAGAAAGACAAAAAACACTCAAGAAGACAGCGACTCCCTCCATCCTCCTCCACTGCTGCATCTGTCACTGCATCTCCCAGCTTCGCCGGCCAAAGATCCTCCAAGGAGACCGGGACGCCTGAACCGTCGGATGCGGTCGGGAGTGCCACCACCCCACCGACCCCGCCTGTGACCAGAGTCAAAGGTACCAATTGAGGAAAACCAGAGAAAGCTGGGGGAACCTCAAACACGACAGGTTTCCTCCTCTTGACGACAGGTTTCCAAATGCAATGCATGACGGGGAACTTGTATGCCGGTGATGCTCCGCCAAAAACTCTGCAAAGCTACCAGCCATGCCGGCCTGTTGAAGAATCACAGGGAAGGCACAACTACTGGCTTCAGCCATTCTCAACCAACGATCAGCCTGAGCCTGGACAGCCTGAGGCTACGAGTTGACAGCCGAGCTACCGGTGGAGGATCTGGGGCATAATGGACTCATCACCAAAGGTCCACCTCACTGGACGAAGCATATGTTCAGCGGTTACTTTTGCAGCGCCCGTATTCAGCATGCGTCATGAGAAAGTCTGTCAAAGACTCGTCAAATCATGATATTACTGATCAAGCGATCAAGCATAGGGATAGCATGGGATAGCATATCATAGCATGGCCACCGAAATCGCATCTTGCTGCATCTTGTGAAAAGGATGGGATGCAACAGCATGGTCTATCTCTGCTGTGGACTGAGGATTTTCTTTGGCAGTTTGTCCCAAAAGACATGCCTTGATCTACCATTGTATACTGTATACTCTCTTCAACCGCAAGTTGCTAAGACCTTCCTTTCCCCAGATGGGAATCCGCGTGTTCGTTCTGTGCGCAACTGGCTGTCGACTTACAGCAGCTTCTACCAATCATGCAAAACGCGGAGAAGGCAATCTCTCAGCAAGCGTACTCCATGGCAGACCCCAACGGCGCTTTGCATCATAGAATAGAAGGATGTGTTCTTGTGTATTTTCGCGACACTGCAGCATTGCAGCATGAAGGAGACAATGCTGGAAAGATTCGTGTTCATTCAGTGTTCAAAAAGAAACAGGGAAGTTGTAACCCCTCTTTTGACCAGTTGTGTTGATGCAAGCTGTCCCTTGCATGTTTAATTTACAGTAAACCTTTCTAGGAACCCTTTTCCAGAAACATGACGGAGCGAACTGCACTGTTTCATTGAGGCCTGCGTTGACAGAGTCGGATGAAGTGAAATTGAAAAGTGCATGTTTTTCTGCTTGGCTCTTCACCAATGGCCTTTTTGGAACTGAGCATTCAAGCCCTCCCGCAAACCCTTTGCAATCTCCTCCAACACCATCACCAAGCCCTCGTATGTCCATCTCAACAGATCCAAATTGCATTCAGCCAACCACGAAGGGACTACCGGGCTTTAAAATTGGTAGGGACCATCCCCTTAAGCTAAGCCTTATATAACCTCTTTTCACCAATTGGTCTCTAAGTGGAACCACCCTGTGAATCTTGGGTAAGCCAGCAGACCTGTGTCACTTTCTGTGCTGGTCAGTTAGTTGTTAGGTTTTGGTCGCAAGGACGTCAATGGCAGAACTGTTCTCAAGAGCACACAAGAAGGTTTGCACGCAATGTCTATGCCTATGCCACAGTGAGGTACAAAAAACACAAGATTCAAATGATCTGACAAGAAACAAATGTGTTTTGACTCACATTTCATCACCAAACATTGAATGTTAGAATCCACGGTGTGTGCAATTTAAATCTTCATGTGGTCAAGCCACATTGGCAATATATCACGGTGTTCCTCTAGCGCAAGTCGCACAAAGCCTGTGGCAACGACATGCTTGACAAAGAAGTGCATGGCAACTGTTCTTGGGATGAAAACCCTTCCAAGGTGCTGCTGTCCAGTGTCCAGGAAAACTTATGAATAAAATTTTGAGTGAAAAGAATGACAATGGCCGTCCCTCACTATCGACCTGCCTTTGTGAGTGCTGATGAAGCACACATAGCGGTTGGGACTTGCAAAGGAGCTCTCCTTGAAATCAAGTCCATCAAATCAACAAGACAAGAATCCACTTCCTTGTCGTCGATGATTAATCGATGGAGGAATGGACGGCGACTGTTGGTGTTTCAGCACTTTTGGCGTCTTTGGGCTCCGAGCACTGCGGGAGTTATTCTGTTGTCATTCTCCAGATAGAAAAGCATTCTGCGCAAAAAAGGATTCTGAATGATTCGGATGTCTCTTTTTCGCACAGTGAATGGCAACTTTTGGCCACTTACAGTAACCCAAAAGAACCGTGGAACTCAAAAATACCTGATTCTGGAACAATGCTTTTTGACCACCTTGGTCCCTAAAACCGTGTTACTCTGAAAGCGGGTTTTGATCACAAGACTGTGACTGACTCTGGAGCCGTCCCGTCCCCTCATGCCACGCTGCTTTGTTTGTTTGAGGGGAAGCGACGGCAAAAGGACACGTCTCGTGAGTTGTCCAAAATATGTACTGTATATATATATAGATAAACTGGAAACTCACGAGACGATTTGATAATAAAGTCTATATGTTTTACAAAGTTTAATTTATATACAGTAAACAAAAATAAGTGGGCCTTAAGTATCAAAGAGGCCCAAGTCCACCTTCTATGTTCCTTCCTGTTTCTTCAACATATTCCAACATGCTGGGGTGCCACGATTTGCCTTGGAGAACAAAGAGGAAGCCAAGCTCTCCTGGGCACCACCCACAAAAATGGCCACATCTTTGCCCTCCCGCAGGCGGTCCCGGATGAATGGCTTGGTGCATTCGAAGGCACCTGCCCAAAAGCTGAAGCATCCAGAGGCATGATGAACTCTGTACAAACAATCTAGAGCAATTGGTTCGTGATGGTCTGTAGATAAATGTCCAAAGGCTGTGCAAAAAAAACAGCATCTTCCAGACATTTCAAGCCTTGGCTTCAGTTTGTACAAAGCAGTGCACCTAGAGTGGTGAACATCTCATAGAAGCCAGGGAAAAGCCCACAAGCTCCTGACCTCACCAGAAGGAAACATTCAGGGCTCTATATACACTCAACAAGCTGAGGAGCTCGCGCAACAGCTGCCCGAAGCTTCATATGCCTAGACACAAACAGCCAGATCGCCCGGATCGAGTCCAAACACAAACAAACTCACTTCCAAACATGCCAAACATCTCACGGCCTGAACCAACGTTGATGGAGCAGCTTGCCGCCATTCTCCTCATGGCAACACACCGACCACAAATGGTGGACGGCAAGGCGTGCGAAGTCAGTCTGGGGCATTTCTCGGTACAAACTATCCCAAAGAAGTGGATATTTGCATCTCAGTTGTTCTGTTTGTATTGATACATGATACATGTGTTGTTTCCATTCTTATCATAGTTCCGAAATTTTCCATGAGCTGTTCCACCAAACTGTCTGGTGCTCTGTGTCCAAGCAGCCGGTTCCGGCAGTTCAGCTCCGGAGGCAGTGATGCCGCGCAAACCGCCACCAGCCCAGGTGAGGCCATTGAGAATGGCACCCAAAGGCAAAAGGCCATGCGGGTGCATTGCAATCACCTGAGTGTGATTTCGGTTAGGAGAAGGGTGACGGAGGTGGTGGGGAGTCGGTGGGGTAGGCTATATAGTAAGAAGCTAGTGTAGATCAAGTGAGCTAATTAGGAAGGAGATTACAGAAAGGAAGGCCAGGGCCAGGGAATGAAGGAGCCCTCAACTTCTCATTTGCTGTACTGTATCTCTTCATTTGTCTTTACCCCTGACTGGTGTTCTTCTTTCTCCCTTTTTGGCACCATCGCTACTACCTTGGGTACAGAAGGGCCGGCGATTGAAAATTATCCTGCCCCAAAGATGCTTCCTTGAAGATTTTTGGGGAAGCTACACAAGCTCAAGTGTAAGTATGCGTGTTCTAGTGTGTTCGTTGTGTTTTCTACCGCATTCCTTGTTTGTTCAAAACAATCAGGTTACAGTTAGATCCATGCATCTCTATGCATGTCTGAGCGATTGCCCACTCTGAGGCCAGCACGTAGTGTCGATCGTACCATCGACGGCGCTGCGTCTCATCCAGCTGGCGCCACTCTTCCGAGAGCACGATACGACAGCCGAAGTAGGAGGCAACAGCTTTCCAAAACCTGGAGCGGGTCACAGTATCTGACCAGCCATGGTCATCGCGAGTAGAGCCACGATCGCTCAAAGGACCCCTTAAAGCCCAAACTGCCCAAGGCATGTGAAGCAGTAACATGCGCAGGAGAAACGAGGTCGAAGCTTCGCGAGGCAAAAGGTGCGCCATGATTGGCAAGCGAGCAAGCAATTGACCAGAGCGTCGAAGAACTGCATCGATGCTGCCGAGAAATCCCACATAGAAAATGCTTTTCATGAGTCGTTCTCGACTCACAGGGACCACCGTTTTTCGGTAGGTCAGACCTCGCATGTAAAAGTGTTTCTTCCACACAAAGGCCGTAAGCACAAGCAGCAACAAAGGGCCAAGGTCGCGAGAGATGGAGAAAATCGCCATGGCCGAAAGAACTGGAAGAGAGCTCGAGGATGCTTCTATTAGAGAAAACATACGAACCCTGGGAAACCATGGTATCATGCTGCATGTTTATTTTCCAAATCAATGAGGCCTCAGCGCTCTTGACTAGGGGCTAGGAAGGTTTCCAATGCAGCATTAGTGTGACTATGTGTGACTCTTTTGTAAAATGAACAAGTTGATGAATCAGGGGCATGCTGGGAGCAAAAACTGGCAAATGAGCAGGGAGCCCATCTAGGCAATTCGGCAATTGCTGCAATGTCCACCCTTTCAACAAAGCATGGGGAGGCCATCACAGGCCACCTTCTCTCCTCACTTTTATGCATGCCAGCAAAGCAGCAGGCGTAAGGTTGCTAGTGAACCTCCCGAACCTATTTTTTGGCTACGAGGCCACAAGGCCTTGAAGCCAAAGGCAAGGCTCACAAGAATTAATTTGGAGACTTCAGTCATCGAAGCCCCTTAAACAATTTTGACATCTCTGAACATATTGTCAGTTCCTGTTCGTGCAAACCCAGATTCCCAAGCATCAATTCTTGAGAAGCCAGCAAGTCGCTCAATTGGCAAATCGCCAAGCCAAGCAACGCCTATTCCTACAATCTAGCAAAAGCAGGATCTCCATTTACTGAGGCGTCTGTCTCTTCAAGCTCAGAACTCCTCAAAAATGTCCAGCTCAGCGACCTGATTGGGGCAAGCCAGCCATCCTCACCTCATGGTTCGATTCATGGGCCTCGAAAACCTCGTTTACTTGACATGCAAGTACTTCGCTAAGACGTAAGAAAGAGTTCGATGTTCTTTGCGGGACAGATGTTCAGCTTGCGAGTAGTGACGAGTGTCTGCAACCGGCGAAAATCATCTTTTAGTGTTGTTGTGGCACCTGGACGAGCCCATAGCAGGCTGCAAATCCGCCCGCACCGAAGGTGCCGAGGCGTTTTTATAAGGCACGCAGTATACGTAAGCTAGCCTGGGCAAGCCAATAGCTTTAGCTAGGGAGGGGGGGGGCCATTTTCGCTTTAGAATCCTGTGTTTTCTCAAGTTTTTGGAACCGGCTTAAAATGCTGGAAGATGGATTCGTGCTAATTTGAAGCCCCTGGTGATGCAAAAAATGCAACTTTCTTCCTTTGCATGATTTGAATTGATGCAAGAACTGCAATTTTCTTCCTTTGCATGATTTGAATCATCTGCGTGGTAAAATGTAATTGGACTGAGGCCGGACATTTGGCTGAACAGGCTCCCCTAAC